ATCACCATTGTCCAGAAACTGAACTGGACCAGCTATTTAAATACTGTGGTTACACAGCAGGTCAGCAGCTAGGAACTTTGCAGCAGGCAACTCACCTCCCGACTTCCCAATGCTGTCCTCCACTTATAAAAGATAAAAGTCAGGAGTGTGATTGAACACACACCACTTGTCTGATGGACGCAACTCCATCAAAACTCACGAAACCTGACAATATTTAGGACAAAACAGTCCATTTGACTGGCCATTCCTTCATTGTCATGCAGTGGCAGCAATGTGTACCATCTACAAGATACAATGCACTAACTTGCCCAGGCTCTTCTGACAGCACATTCAAACCTGTAATTACCCTTCAAGCCACACAACATCACGACTTGGAACTATATCACAATTTCTTCACTGTTGCTGGGTCAACATTCTGGAACTCCTTTCCTAAGAGCATCGTGTATACAACTACTGCCCTAGAACTGCAGCAGTTCAAGGAGGTAGCTCACTGCCATCGTCAAGACCTAGCCAACAATGCCTAAATTCCATGAAATAATTAAATGTAATTGATAGAGAACAATAGTCACAGCATTCAATATGTATCCCAGTGTATTTTCAATACCTTAAAAAAATGCTTATAATTCAGAGTTGCCTTCTAACAGATGAAAAGAATAATGTCTCTATAGGTCCTCTCAGCAACTGACCAGCAACTAGTCTGAGCTGAATACATCTTTCCAGCTGTTCGTTATAAATGTCAGCTTTTTAAAAGCTGAGGCAAAGTAATTCAAAGATGCATTGCTTTCTAGATTTGTACTCCTTTTGTATTTAAGTAAATGGGCTAAGAGTGGGAAAGGGGAGCTGAAGATAATATAATTAATACAGTCTTATCCTACTGTAAAATAATTCCTCAAAAATACATATTTATGCTGGATGAAACCACTATTTGAATTATCCAGAGAATTAGTAGCCATATTAAATAAATCTCTTGCAATAAATCAAAGCATACACTCTATACACTGGTGGAAAACCAACTGCTGTCACCCAGTTCCCAGTTGAGAGAAACTTGCTATATCCATGGAATCTGAAATTTGGCACATTGGCATCAGGAAACTGTGGTGCTAAATGGTATCAATACCATAGATTATATTGTGTCTTTTGCAAAACAGCACGAATGCAGCTGCATCCTAAACTGGCACAGATCCACATATTAGAGAATGATTCATGAATGTTGAACACGCCATTGAATATTCTTTCTCCCCAGTGCAGTGAGATAAGTACATACCACTTGTGGCACTCTGCATTTGAATTGTCTTTCTGAAGACCAGCTTCTGCTTCTTCTTTCCCTGAGAGACAAAAATAAGATGGCAGACATTTATTAGAAGATTAACAGCACATCAGCCGACTCACCATTCACAAATTAATTTAAACACCTGGTGTATGGCTGCTTCCAATACTGGACCATACGCATTACTGATCAAATGTCAACAAGAACAAATTGTTATTATTTTGTTAATAAAGGCTTCCTTTGTTTTCAATCTCATTGTTGCCAAATCATTGATGAATTAAGGCTGAGCAAAATGGCAAGGTTAAAATGAAGCCGATACTGACCTCCAAAACAACCTAATATTTGGTGACATCTGTGCTGCTTTAGAAAGTTTTAATTCATCAACTAGTTTGTCCTCTTGTACAAAGCAAGTGCATTATTGTGCACTGGGAATTACCCTCAAATTAAAATTTATCAACACATTCTACGCGTTTCTTTTTTTAAATTGACACTTTTGAGGAGGGAAGAGTTGTTCCAGACAATGGGTTGCAGGGTTTTGTGCAGGGAGTTAAATTTCCTAAAAGTATACTGGAGTCAGGGTTCCAAGAACTTACAGCCACTTCCCTGATTTTGCTGGGGCAGGGTTGAAGGTGACTGGAGAAGTCAATTGGATGTGTCAGTAAGTACTTTAAAGAAAATATTCTGGAATACTAGGCATCCATTTCCTGACCTATCAACAATTTGCTAGGTTCAGTGAAGTGATTGCTTGAGGTGGAAAGAGGTTCTTCAGTCAAACTGACCAGCTGAGAAGACTTTGAGCATTGAAACTTAAGGGCTCCAACCATAAGCAGGTAGCAGCCTGCTTTTCAAAGCTCTTCATCTCTCATAATCCTATCAATATCTGACAGGCTTCTCATCAGGTACCCTCATCTGTCTAGCATGTCACTCAGCTTCAGCTACACTTCTCTGCAGTCAGCTGTCACCGTGGCATGGGAGCAACGTATGCAAGTGCATATGTACCCTTGATGAGAGGCAAGCGAAGTAAAAATACCAACAACAGTACCAGCTGCAGTAGCAATAACAACTGCTGCTTCATGCTCCTCCACTGGGCATAGAGAACAGAACACAGAGATTCAACTGGAAGAAGGCAAATCCCCAAATGCAGGGCATGCCACATCCTTGGAAAAGAGGCCTCAGGTGACTCTGGTTCTCACCGCAGGTCACTGTTGACATCTGCAGCCTCTTGAACAAGACATCTTTCCCAGTGCAGGTGATGCGTATGCACTGGTAGTGGTCCATAAGGTGCCTATCAATGGAAGCCAAGCAACGTGGGTTTTCTAGTAGCCATGAAAATAGCAGCATTTTCTGGAGACAAAGAGCAGGTGAAATTGTGTTCTCCTCCAATGGCAAAATTTACATTGCTGAATATGGTAATGTACATACAGAATCTGACAGGAAAGACAGTGATTCAGTCCATTTTGCTTGTGTCAGCTCTATGAAAGCGGTATTCAGTTAATCCCACTTCTCTGCTCTTACTCCACCAAAAAAAGGTTTTCCATTTTAAATATGTATTGAATTTGTTTTTATTTATGAATCTGCATCCATCATATTTTCAGGCGGTTCATGCCTGAACATGTCGATGCAGTGTGGAGCTGGAGGAACACAGCAGATCAGGCAACATTAGAGGGGTAGGAGAGTCAACATTTCAGGCCTAGACCCTTCATCAGGACTGGGAAGGGGGAAAGGAGCTGGGAAATAAATAGAGGGAAGAAGGGTGGAGCTGGGGGGAGGTAGGTGGAATGCGATAGGTGGATGCAGGTAGAGGTAGTGGGAATTGGTCAGTGGGAAGGGTGCGGCAGGTAGGTGGGGAAGGAGGTGGACAGGTAGTGTCAAGTCAAAGTGACGCGGATGAGATGGAGGGTTGGACATGGGATGAAGCCGGGGGTGGGGAGATTTTGAAACTGGTGAATTCTGTGTTCAGGCTATCGGGCTGTAGGCTTTTCTTCCAGTTTGCATGTGGCATCATTGTGGCACTGGAGGAGGCCCAGAATAAACATGTCACCCAGTGAGTGGAAGGGGGAGTTAAAATAGTTGGTGACCGGAAGGAGTTATTGATTATAGCATACGGAGCGCAGGTCCGGAGCACAGGGGGTGGGGTTTGAAGGCAGAAGTGCGAGAAATGCAAGAGATGAAGTTAAGGGCATTTTCAATCAACGGAGGGGAGAGTTTGCGGTCCTTGAAGTAGTGGAACGCTCCATCTTGGGAGCAGATGCAGCGAAGGCAGAGGAATTAGGAGTAAGGGATTGCATTCTTGCAGGAGGGTGGGTGAGAGGAGGTATAGTCCAGGTAGTTATGGGAGTTGGTGTTTGAAATAGATGTCAGTACTGAGACAGTTACTGAATATGGAGACAAAGGGGTCCAGGAAGGGGAGGGAGGTAGTGGAGATGGTCCAGGTGAATTTGAGGTTGGAGTGAAAAGGTGTTAGTAAAGTTGAAGAACTGTTCAAGCTCCTCATGGGAGCACGAGGCTGTGCAGATACAGTCTTTGATGTCGCGGAGGAAGAGATAAGAGATGGTGACTGTGTAACACCGGAAGAGGGACTGTTCGATGTACCCTACGAAGAACAGGCATAGCTCGGACCCATAAGAGTGCCCATAGCCACCCCTCTGGTTTGCAGGAACTGGGGGGAGTTAAAGGAAAAGTTGTTGAGGGTAAGGACAAGTTCCGTTTAGCGGATGAGGGTGTCGGTGGAGGGGAACTGGTTGGGCCTGCGGGAGAGGAAGAATCAGAGGGCTTTTAGGCCATTTGCATGAGGGATACAAGTGTACAGGGACTGGATGTCCATGGTGAAGATGGTTTTAGAGGCCAGGGAATTGCAAGTTCTGGAGGTGGTGGAGGTAGTGGGTAGTGTCCCGTACGTAGATGGGGAGTCCCTGGACCGGGAGGAAAAGACAGAGTCAAGGTACGCAGAGATGAGTTCAGTGGGGCAGGAGCAGGCAGAGACAATGGGTCGACTGGGACATTCAGGTTTGTGGATTTTGGGGAAGGAGATAGAACCAGGCGGTTCAGGGTTTTGGAACAATGAGCTCAGAGGCTGTGAGTGGGAGGTCACCTAAGGTGATAAGGTTATGGATAGTCTGAGAGACTGTGGTCTAGTGATCAGGGGTGGGGTCATAATCGAGGGGGCAGTAGGGGGAGGTGTCAGAGAGTCGGCGCATGGTCTCCGTGATGTAAAGGTCAGTGCGCCATACTACTACTGCACCCCTCACACCCTTATCCACAGGTTTGATGGTGAGAGGTTGGAGTGAGTGAGAAGGGAGGAGAGGTTGAGGCAATTGATGTCGCGACAGCAGTTGGAGATGAAGAGGTTGAGGGAGAGTAGGGGGCCATGGGGTGGTGTCCAGGAGGATGAGGTTTGTTAGAGGCAGGAGAAGGGATTGGCAGAGTGTGGGTTAGACTCCCCGTCAAAGAAATAGGTGCGGAGGCGGAGGGGAAAAAGAAAAGAAGAGTTCAACATCCAGTGAACGGAATTCATCGATGTGTGGGCGAAGGGGAATGAAGGTGAATCTTTTGCGGAGGACTGACCATTTGGCCTCAGTCAGGGGGGAGGTGTGGAGGGGGGGAGGGATGGTGAATACCCGGCAGGGCTTAGATTGGGGCTAGGTGTAGAGCTGGAGCTGGGAGTGGGGGTGGAGACCGTCTTGGGAGTGGGTGTGTATATGGGGGTGGTCATGTAGGTGGAAGTGAAAGTAACACTGTCATTGGCGGAAGTGACAGTGGCAGCGTACATGACATCATTGGTGTCAGCAGCGGCAACAGCGACGTGGTCAGCAACGGCAGAAGAGATGTAGTCAGCAGCAGCAGAGGCCGAGACGACCGCATGGTTAATGGCACCGGGCAAATTCAGAGGGAGGTCCTAGATAAGGTTGGGGTCTGGGAGGAGGTCGGTGTTTGGTGGTAAGCACAAGCAAGTTTGGTCTACTTACGGTCCTTGATTTCTGTAGGGCAGAGAAAAAGCATTGGTTGAGGGTGTGGATCCAGTGCAGAATGAAAAACAAAAAAAAGAGGTCCCTTGCAGGCCTGGGAGAGAAAGGCTCTGAGCTGGGGTAGGGCTGACTGAAGTGCAAGAAGATGCTGGCGTATCTGAGGAGCATGCAGCTGAGGATCAGTAGAGAAAACAGTTTTTAGAGGCTCTGGATGTACTGTAGGTTGCGGTTGTCGTGGTTTGGGCCAAATTGCGATGGCTTGAACATCGTTTGGAGTCCATTGAGGATGATCTGGCTGTGAACGCGCGTACTGAGAAAGGAAGATGTGGCCATAGTAGCAGGTTTGTTTTAGTATGTGGTCAAAGAACTTCAGGGCAGAGCTACCCATGCCTGAACATAATTCACAGCATAAAAAATGTCTCCACTATATTGTATAGTGTTTAGACATGATCTAAAACAAGGCAGTTCAACTGATTGGTACTCTATCCACCACCTTAAACATTCACTCCCTCCAGCATTGCTACAAATTGGCTTCAGAATGTACCATCTATAAAGATGTACTGCAGCAACTCATCATCGTTAACGAAATTGACCAAATCATTGACCTCTAGCACCTAGAAATGTAGGGCAGTAAATGTATTCAAGCATCACAACCTTCTCAACTGCTTAACACACTGCCTTGACTTTGAAATTTGTGTTCTTGTTGGATTAAAAACCTGAAGCTCCGTACCTGTTGTAGAAGGGTTTTAGAACACGAGCAACATTGTGATGATGTTGCTAAGCTGGTGCTCACTCGGCATAATTAGAACAGTGTGGGTGGAGTTAGAAAAAAGGAGCAAAACATATGGAGACTTGGGCAGAAGCCTGATATCTAGCATTGTGAACATTAGAAACAAGTGCAGAAAAGCATAAGATGGTAGAGGTTATGGAATAGTTCCTCAGTGAGGCAACAGTAAAATTACAGTTTGGTAGATATCTCAGAATACTATGAATTAAGTATTCGGACTTAATTTGTGATAGTGTTATAAAGAAGAGCAACGTAAAAGCCAGTTTTTGACTATGTCTTCTCTTCAACCAGTCTGACTTGAACCAA